TACCCATCATCTCAAACATTCGTCATTTCTTTGTGTCGGGAACACTTCAAATCCTCTCTATGAGCTATTTGAAATCACGCGACAAATTGTTGTTCTGTAGTCTCTCTCTTATTTTCTGTATTTTATGATGCTTTCGTATGTCGGGGGCCTGGCTGGCCAAGGGAGAGCCTTCCCCTCCCAAGGCCAGCTCATTCCTGGAGACAGCAGACGACTTGCCTGCAATGGGCCCATCCTATGCAAACCAACCAATCAAATAAATTGCTCGGACTTGCCTGCCCTCTCTCTCACCCAATCTTTCCCCCGACCCCCGACCTCCCGTGCCCCTCCCACCCCCGTCCCCCACACACGCCCTACCCACGACAAAGGCCCTGAGACATCGTTTCTCCTTTACTTCTTCTGACTCCCGACTGACCCACGTGCCTCCCCACGTGGCCCCGTGTGGTGCAATGAGCCCCCTCCTTTTGGGAACTGTCCACCAAGCCTCTGTCCTTTGACCAAAACTTGAATCAGGCTCCTGAGTCCAGTCTGAGTAGGCTTGACCTTGGGTTTCCCGCTCTGTCCTAGTAGGATCCAGTTTGAGCAAGAAACCCACCAAATCAGTTCAGTGAAAATCCTCCATCCTGGTCTCTTTTCACCCTGGCTTGCCTTCCGCAAGAATTCTACGGAGTGGGAGTCGGTCTAGCAGAAATCCCCCTTACCCCCGATGTTTCTTTCCTCTTAGCACTTTTTCAGCCACTGACTCCACCGCCGCCACCACCCCCCACCCGGCTTCCTTGGCTGCAAACCTCCACTCGTCCTCGTTGGAGTCGGCCGTTCGGTCCATTCTCTGTTCCGTACTTTAGTGTCATCTGAGACTAAGGGCAAAACTCCTTCCATCTGTGTACCTGTAAGAATATAAAAGAAATTTATCTACTTCCAAAAAACAGTGGTGGGACAGACATTTTGTAAACATGCCCATTCGAAAAGGGATGAATAGACCAGAAGGAAGGAAAAATAGGCTGCAAAAAAAATTCAAAACCCGGGGCCGGCCCGTGGCTCACTCGGGAGAGTGNTCCGCACGAGTGGCGTGTAAGTGCGTTTCTTGTGGGAGGGTGCCTCCCAACAGTGGGGCAACAGGTGAGGCCGGGCGGACCCAATCAGGCCCTCTCTTGAGCCATTCCCTGGACATTCCTCTCCTCGGCGGCCAGAGCTCAGGGCCCCTCAAGTTTCCTTCCCAAAGTCTTGTTTTTCCTCGGCCTCCCTTGGGCACTCCACAAGACCTCAGGGTTTATCCTCCCTCACCCCCACACTGGATCCTCAGAGCCAGATATATTTTGGATTTCAGACTTTTCCAGATTTTAGAAAAATGTACTGTGGACTATGAAACACCCCCGCAGGGCCCACAGCTGCACCCTAGAATCAAACGTTAGTACTTCTGCATCACATTATGTGAATATTTGCAAGAAGCAGGAAAAATATTCATTAATGCCCACTCTCAGTTGAGGTTATATTCTGCTGACAAGTCATGAGAAGAAATCGTTTTCAGGAATGAGGGATCTCAGACTAGGGGTGTGGACNGGTCACATAAAATTATTACCAACTGTATGTTTTTAATTTTCTGTATTCCTCTCTCTCCCCCCATTTTACCAAATTTAGTTTTCTTAATCGACATGTAACGTTGTGATATTTGGGTACATGCATACAACGTGCACCCATCGAATCAGGGTAATGGGCATACCCATCATCTCAAACATTCGTCATTTCTTTGTGTCGGGAACACTTCAGATCCTCTCTATGAGCTATCTGAAATCACGTGACAAATTGTTGTTCTGTAGTCTCTCTCTTATTTTCTGTATTTTATGATGCTTTCGTATGT